TTGCCTTCAAAACAGCATCAATTCTTCTAGGTACACTTGCACACGGTTTTTGAAGGAACTTGGCAGGTAGGTTGTTCCAAACATCTTGGAGAACTAACCACAGATCTCCTGTGGATGTAGGCTCCCTCAAAGCCTTCTGTCTCTTCATGTAATCCCAGACAGACTCAATGACATTGAGATCAGGCCTCTGTGGGGACCAAACCATCACTTCCAGGACTCCTTGTTCTTTATACTGAAGATAGTTCTTAATGACATTGGCTGTATGTTTGGGGTCATTGTCCTGCTGCAGAATATAGTTCTTAATGACATTGGCTGTATGTTTGGGGTCATTGTCCTGCTGCAGAATATAGTTCTTAATGACATTGGCTGTATGTTTGGGGTCATTGTCCTGCTGCAGAATAAATTTGGGGCCAATCACACGCTTCCCTGATGGTATGGCATGATGGATAAATATCTGCCTGTATTTCTCAGCATTGAGGACACCACTGATCTTGACCAAATCTCCCACTCCATTTGCAGAAATGCAGCCCCAAACTTGCAAGGAACCTCCATGCTTCACTGTTGCCCGCAGACACTCATTCTTGTACCGCTCTCCAGCCCTTCAGCGAACAAACTACCTCCTGCTACAGCCAAATATTTCGAATTTTGACTCATCAGTCCAGAGCACCTGCTGGCATTTTTCTGCACCCCAGTTCCTATGTTGTGCATAGTTGAGTCGCTTAGCCTTGTTTCCACATCGGAGGTATGACTTTTTGGCCGCAATTCTTCCATGAAGACCACTTCTGGCCAGACTTCTCCAGACAGGAGATGGGTGTACCTGGGTCCCACTGGTTTCCACCAGTTCTGTGCTGATGGTGCTGATGGACATCTTCCAATGTTGAAGGGAAGTAAGCATGATGTGTCTTTCATCTGCTGCATTAAGGTTCGTTGGCCGACCATTGCGTCTACAGTCCTCAGCATTGCCCGTTTCTTTGTGCTTCTTCAAAAGAGCTTGAACAGCACATCTTGAAACCCCCTGTCTGCTTTGAAATTTTTGCCTGGGAGAGACCTTGCTGATGCAGTCTAACCACCTTGTGTTGTTGCTCTGCTCAGTCTTGCCATGGTGTATGACCTATGACATGAAACTCTCTTCCACAACCTCACCTCAGTAGCAGAGTTTGGCTGTTCCTTACCCAGTGTTAAGCCTCCTACACAGCTGTTTCTGTTTCAGTTAATGACTGTTTCAACCTACATATGAAA